CAGTGGCAACAACAGGAGTGGCAAGAGGCCAGGAAAGGAGGTGAGATAGTGCAATGTGGTGGTGGGCAAGAATGGGATCAGAGAAATAAAAGGGAGGGAAGAGAAAGAAGGAGGTGGGCAGAGACAGGCCACAAGGCACTGGGTTTGGATCTCTCAAATCCAGCAATGCTGCTGCAAAGAAACCTATTTCCTTCTCAAAATCTACTAATGCCTTTCTTTCAAATATTTGCAACTTTATTTGTCTTTCCAAATCTTCTGAGTTGTATACTTGAATCAGGTCTTGTACTTTTAATAATGTTGCATATAGTTTACACTTGTTTGTGCATTGTGCATGCAGCTGGTACTCTTCCATTTTGTCCATCTGACTTTTAAGAAGTGAACCCATGTATCTCCTATGAGCACTGAACAGTTTACACCAGAGGACTCCCTTTAAATAAAGTGTAACACCTCCCTTTCAGTAAGCAAAATGCTTATCAGATCCAGTGAGCTTGTTGATGTGTGAGGACAAATAATTGGCCCACAACATCAGAATAATAAAGTGAAAACAGTAAATAACCATGCCACTTAAGTAAATAGCTGCTGATAATTTTGTGTCAAGATCCTGTAAAATAATTTGATTCTTGAAAGAACGCACAGGCCTGTTTTTCATTTTATTAACTGACATTCCTTGCTGCCCCCACTGATGTTTTTACTATATTTCATGATATAAAAATAGAAGTTGCTGTGTTGCTATGGCTCCTTGCATATTTCTAAAATCTCTCTCCATTCTTTTCCAGTGCATTTTCACTTAAAAAGCTGGTTTAACAAGAGACCAGCTCAGTGTGTACCCTGAAAGTTACATTTTGAGAAAAAGTGTTTCCTGGTCATTAGAAGATCAGTGCAAATATTGGAAGTGCACAGTGTAGAATATGACCTGAGCGTAAGTCCAGTTGGTAACATCTTTCTAGCCTCAATAAATCCCTTATTGTATATAGGTTCACAGTTTGACTAAACAGTTTGCTTCGTTTTCCAGGCTGAGCTGCTGAATTCCAATTTATAGGCATTTAACATTTGAAAGTAAATGGCTGTTGCATTATAATCTAAATTGATCAACATGCTCAAACAGATACAAGTCAAGGAATACACAGACACACAGTGTGTGTGTGTGTGCATGTATGTATATATATATATACATACATACATACATATAATATGCATTATTTTCTGATATAATTCAACAGCATTGCATGGAATATGGTGAATCCCATTCAACTCAGGAGTCTCAGCAGCATTAGCATATAATTTTTATCATGCATTTTACCATTTTACCAGTCCCAATGATTTTACAAGAGTAACACATTATAGGAACATTCTCAAACCTGGTGCCTTTGAGGTACAGTATTTTAGACTACAACTCCAAGTTCCTATATTCAGCATGTTTGCTTTAGTTGGGGATGATTGGAGATGCAGCTCAATATATCTGGAGAGTGTCAGATAGGTATTCTTAGAGATATAAGCTCAGATTTAGCTCAGTCACTCTTGCCATAGTCACCTTCCTTTATGACTACTGTAACACATTTTACCTGGGACTATGCTTGATGAGCATAGAATAGAGGTACAGAATGTGGTGATCTCACTGCTTCAGGATCTGCATTGGTTGCCAGTTGGCTTCTGGGTGTGATTCAAAGTGTAACCTTTAAGGTCCCATACAGCACTGGACCTGATTATCTTCTCCTGTATTCATCTACCTAACAAACCAGATCAGATAGGGTCAATGTCCTCAGGTCCTGTCCCTACAGGATTGCCATGGGACAGGGTCTTAGAAATGGGTACTTTCAGTAGCCACCCCAC